AGGGAGGAGACAAAAAGGAAGATAGATGTATAGAAAAAGGCGAGACCAAATCCTAGTTGGAAGTATCAACCACAAGAGCCGAACAAGGAACTGGGGAAAGAGGGGGGAAGTTACTGATGAGATACATGCCCAACTGAGAGCAAACCCACGAAAAACCTGAGTATGGACAGATCACTCTATATCCAGCAAAGGAAGTGACCTGCTCCCAAGTTCAGATCTCTTGACACATGACAAGTTATGAGAAGTAATTGATGGGAATATGCTCAAAATAGCAGGGTCAGAGCTTGGAAGAAGAAGAGTCTTGGAATAGGTACCACCCTGACAGCTAATACTGGAAATGTCTGAGGAATTGTCAGAGTCAATCATTACTAACTGATCCACAAGAAGAAGAAAGAATTGGGAACATGCCCAGTGAATACTCCTCCAGAACCCACACATCCAAAATCATGTCATAGTTCAGAATGTGACCCAACCCTATATATAGGGATGCAGCTGTGAAAAGATGAAAATCTGATCAGAAGGGTAGTAAAGGGATGTATTTTGTGTTATTGACATGGTCAAGCCAACAAAATGAGGTCTCGAGAAGAGAAGAAGGAAGGTACACAACTGAATCTGAGGAAGGTTTCACTCTTCCTGCAATTTCCACTGGAAGTAGCACATGTGTAGGACCTAAATGTATAGGCAGTGTAAGTAAAGTCAAAGTTCCCAAAAGTAAATATACCTTGAATGCAGGGTGTAAAAGAGAAGCACCAACCTCAGTGAAAAGGCATTATAATGGCTGTAAGTGAAGTATTGAATGCCAAGCCTGATAGAAAACGAAGTTGAAGAACATGCCCAGATGTACTAAATGTAGGGTGAAAGAAAGAGTCCCTCCAAGAAAAGGCAGGGAGAAGCCAATCACCTATATAACAACAGAATCACTTCTCCAAACCATTAACATGGGTGAATGTCCCATGACTTGATCAAAGATTTGCAATACCATAAGAAAGAGCACAGAAGAGGAATACCTGATCCCTGTACAAAGCAGAGAGAATATCTAGAGGATGGGGCAATTGGAATGTGTCCAAAAGTGACTGAAACAGTAACCATGGTCATCTATAGTTTGGGTGAAAAGAACCACTAGAGAAAAAAAGAAACCCTCCACACAGAATAGAGGGATAATTGGAGACCTGTAGAGAGAAGACAGATCAATAATTGGACTTCAGTTCATGTCTTCTTGGGAACCAAAAAAAATCAAAAGTAATAACCAAGTGTAGGGATAAATACCCTTTAAATGGCACTCTTGGCCAAAAGATCTGAGATGATATCCTTGAAACATAGAAAATAAAGCAGAATGGAGGTAAAATGAGACAAAAAGAGACAAATGGACTTCCACAGGTCCAAATCTGACAGGATAGTCACTGATGAGACAAATGATGATCCTTACATCGAGAAATAGAAGGATGCTGGGAAGGGAAGGGGAGAGGTGGATTCAGCAGGTCTAGGAATAGGTACAGAATTGTGAGGGTGGGAAAGATGAGAAACCATACTAGACAACAAGAACAAATGCTGGCCTGTCTGAGTCTGGGTCTCCAGATAGAAGCATGAGGGAGGTGTACATTAGCCAGGAAAGCATCCTGTTCCAACAGCAGAAAAACCAAGTAGGAAGGGATAGAGCAGAAGAAGTACATGTCTACATAGTGAAAAGAAAAGAATGAACCTCTCCAGAAACTGTCCACAGGAGCATGATGAAGTACCTCAGACATAAGTTGAAGTGAGGAAGGGTAACACAAAGGGTGGTAAATAAGAAAGAAAAGAGCAAAAATTGGGCATTAGAAAGGAAAAATAAAAGTTAAAGGATCTACCTTCTTAAGCAGGTAAAAGTGATTCTGAAGAATGGGAAATGTGGATAATGAAGAACAGGTGTAAGTCAGAATACCAGAGTCGATTAAATGTGAAGGATGAGGCATGTTAGTATAGGTGTGCTGTTATTTGAGAAACAAGTCTGCAGGGACCATAAAATCTGATGAAGTAGGGAAGACAAAGAAGTCTTGAGCACAGATTTCATGTAATAAAGGAAAGGAGGAATAAGAAGAAAGAGAAAGAAATGAACCAACCTGAGAAATCTTGTCAAAGAAGAGATTAGAAAGGTGAAGTGTTCTTCCACAGATAAAGTTATGCCTAGATTAAACTCTAGAAGGGGAAATAGTTGGTCAAATCATCATCATCACACCCAAGTGGAACATAGCTGAATGGACAGGAGGAGAAGGTCCAGAGTTCATGAAAGAACCCACATGTTGAAAAAAAGCTGTTACATCGTCCACAGACAGTTCCAGTGTTAAGAACATAGTAAATATTCCAAGAACATAATAGATAAGTAGGAGAAAAAGAAATATTATTCAAATTCATCTTCTATTTCTTTAGTGATAAAAGGAACCAGTTAAACCTGAAAGAAATTTAAGTTATTTCATGTGCAAGTGCTTAGGGGAAACACTGAACAAAGAAATTGTGTCACCCTCTTATTGTTGAAGGGTTATCATCGCATGATGATGTCATTATGCACTAGCATAGGTCATGTTGAACATGTGAATTTTCTATTTGAGTTCCATTTAGTGGCGTGCAAGTCTCATAGGCAGATGTTTGAGGGATCAAGCTATTTTGTGTGCAGATGTGAGACATTGTCTCAGAATTACTGCTTATTTCACATATTTAAATCCATATTTATTAACAGTTATCAACTATGTGAGCTAAACAATGAACTTGAAAAGGCATTTATGACATTAGAGTTAACACTTTAAAGCTAATTCTGAGAAAATATTTGTAGAGCCCCTTCACAAAAGACATATGGTTTGCTTACATATTAGAATATCCCACAAATACCTTCCAATTCCAACTACTATTTTTAAATCCCATGTTCATTCTTGCAATTCAGAAACAATTCTGTTTAAATACTTACAGAGTGAATGCCTTTATCTGGTGAAGTGTTATTATAATCAATTACATTTATCATAGGACAACAGCTTTAAGCTTATTGTATTTTAAACACTCCATTTTTCTCTTCATCATTTAGGCCAAGAAGTAAAGTGTGTAACAGTATTTCAACCATACCATGTTTGCTACAAACAACACTCTTCTTCTTAGTAAATACCCCAAAGGGCTGAATAAAGAATGTTGTGTTTAAAAATATAATAAGCCTAATACATTGTCTTGTGCAACACATGAAATCTAAAAGTTTAAAACTAATCTACAAACAATATAACTATACAAAGTAAGTTAAAAACAATGAAACCATACCCTTGCCCATGACAGGAAAGACCAACAAATGCTGAATAAGCTAAACATTAAATTTGTCCATTTCCAACTGACATATACAACTTATAAAACAATGTTGTCACTTACCTGCATTAAACATGATTTTCTATTGGTTTCTTTTAATTCACTCTCTAGAAATTTTGACAAACTTTCATGGTTTTGCTTGTGAAAATATTCAGCCCAAATGTAATCTTTTTCTTCACATAAAGGAGTATTTTGAAGGCGTACAATACCATCAGGGGTTGAACAATGAAGAAGCTGAGACTTCACCTGATACAAAATTTACATAAGCAATGCTTTTTATACCAAAACATTTAGCTATCTTTCAGAATATTTTTGAATAAAATTAGCTAATTTTAAAATGTTCCCAACATTTGAAAAAACTTCTATAAGAGAACTGTGTTCTCTAAGCTCTCCTAAGCTAAATTTGTTTTCAGATGTGTCTGTCCCAGGTTAATTAACAATTTGTATATTACACTAAACACAAAAAAGTGCTATTGGAGATAACTCAAATAATTTGGAGCAATTTGATGGTGCTGATTTCAAAAGTGTAGTCAGAATTTGTCCATCATCTCTGGAGTTTGAGTTATTGTAATATCTCAATATTTTATGAGCACTATGCAAAATACCATGAGATCAACTCAGTACAAAAGATTTATGCTGTGATATTAAGTTTACTTGGACAATTTAATGGGTAAAAAGCATATATTTTTGATAACTTCAAACATTGACAGTATTTTATTGGTGTAAAATTCCAAATATATTGTTCATATATGCTATTTCTCTTCAATATAATTGTAGTTAATTGCACCACTTTTGCTTCATTCCCACACTCACCTGCTATGCCCAGGAATCATGAAACCCTCACGTGCTCAGTTTGCTAGAGCATTTGAGAAGTCCTTCAACTGAGCATAAAAGGGGCGGAGCAGGACGCTCTCTTAGTTACCTCTCACTCACTCAGTTGGTCACTTCACCTGACTCCAAGCACAGTCAAAACAAAATCTGATCTTTTTCCTCGCATCCTACCCATGATATAATCAAAATCTGCAAAGCTATTTTTAAATCTTTTAAACTATAGCTCTGTAAACATAAATTCTTTTATACTTTTTGACAGTTCAAATAAAGTACAAAATTGCATAAACCAACCAAACAGTTTCTGCTATGTTTATGGCAAATATATTAGTTTAATGAAGGAAAAACATCACATACAAGGTAAAGTTAGCTTACTACTACCACTATTTTTGGTGTAAAATTGGTGACCAAAAATAAAACATTGGACTCCACGTGTATTGTATGGTTTGCACATCTGGCTTGAAGAAGTGGCTGCATAAGAAGAGAGCAACTATGCCAGTGGCAGTTCCCATGATATGACATGAGTCCAAAGATCATCTAACTGACTGTTAGTTTTGCAGGACTAATGTTTCTGGATATTCAGGCAAAACTAAACAATACATTAAATAACTAGATATTACATCTGCAATGAAACCAGTACTTCATGGGGATGGTCTTCCAGTGCCACATCCACCAACTATTTGGGAAACAGAAGTATTACCCTGCAAAGAATATGATAAATCAACTTCACACCTAGTACTTCTATTCCTGTGGCACCTCAACATAAACTGCCTCATCTGACCACACAACAAGTGCTAAATGATCTGATTCGTGTCTTGCCTCTATCAAAGCAGAATGGGGAACTTCTTGGCTCTCATTTACAACAATGGAGCTTATTAGCTCCAGGAATAAGAATTTCAATTTATCAAAGCTATCATTAAAGTCTTGCTTCTCGTCACAGCATGCAAGATATTTTATGTTTCTGTACACATTTTGAAGCACTAGTGGTAGAATTACATACCAAACACAATCCTCAAGAATGAAAACTTTTTAATGACTCATCTAAAGTTTGTCTAAAAGCTGTGCTTTTGCACAATGGGAACATTAAGCCATTGATTTTTGTTGCTCATGCTGTGAATGTGAAAGAAAGTTATCAAAACATGCAAATTATACATTCTTAAATGCAATTTTTGATGAATAGAGCTATTAAAGAAAAAGTAAGTTTCACAAAACATATAAAAATACTTTGAATAAATCCATCATAACTCAAACATTGGAGATGATCAGTAATTTTCAATATGATTTTCATAATCAGCGTCATCAATTAATGCAGAAACAGTTACATTTTTTTTTAGTAGCAGAGAAAAACATCTTTGTCACCCAGTGTTAGCAAACACATTTACTGGTTGAGACTTCAGTGTAGTAAAAAAAAAAGATTAGGAAATAAAACTTTGTGTAATAGTTTTCAAATTAGCTTTCAATTTCTGACAAACAAAGTTAGAATTTGCTTATGTTTAACAGTTCAAACACAACATTGTGGCATCTGACTTGATACTGAAAGAACAGCCTACAGAGTTACAACACAGAATAGTTGTTCTTACAGTATTTTGTACAACAATCTTTCTTTCTTCTAAAAAAAAGGCCAGTTCTGATTAAAATTATGTAATATTTGAAAGCTGCGTGTAAGAAAATCTAGTTACTTCATGGTATATTCACATAATAGCACTGCTGTGGCTTTATAGAGTGTACATTAAATAAAAAAATGTTTAAACTTTAGTATAAAATTATACAAATTACTGTCATATGACAAATGTCATATGAGAGTCTAACATACATGTAAGAGGAACTGAGTGTGTTAGATCTTATTTTTAGTGAAATAATATGTTGCCAAAGGAACCTGCAAATAATACAGTTACATATATATAAAACAGTTTGTTTTTTTCAATAGCATTTCTGTTTTGTTTTAGTACTGTCAGTCTTACAACATATTTGATAAAATGTTTAAAGCCAATTTTTTACTATTCAAGACCTCAAAAAGCAATCAGGTAATGAAAATAACTAAAATGGCTTTAACAACACAATATACTGCAAGTTTTAAATATTTTAATGAAAATTTACAAAACTAAATTAGATAATTATATAATTTAAAACTACAGTTTTTTCTTCACACACTAAACTTTAACAAACAAACAATTATATTTTTTATATAATTCTTAGTTCCAAGGAGGCTACTGGAAATCAGTAAAATCGATTAACTGGCCAGGGAAAAACATGAAGCCTACAATAAAATTAAACAAAGAACTCCATGTAATTATTTGAAACTGGAGCAAATGCACAATTTCTAGAGGGGAGAGAGGGTGCAGGCCATTCAGAGAGAGAACACTACCATAGTCACCTTCAGTGAAGGGTATTTATCCCTTCCAATGGTGTAAATCTCCCCCCACAAAATTTTAAAAGTTATAATTTTCTTAACCTGAAACTGTATTTTAGATATATAATTACCTGTCTGTTCCACTAAAAGCTACTCCCTCATGCACAAATGCCATTAAATTTCCTATACATGCCACCAGGTTTGAATAAACTCTTGTATTGTGGCAATCAAGGATATAATCATCATAATGCCATAGCCCTCCACCAATAGAAGAGCAACAAGTTCCATGCGCAGTTTTCCCCATGAGCACCAGCACACAATTATAGGCTCATTCTTTCTTTGACACTGCATGTTTTCATATGTATTTTATCATGTGCTTTCTAAGTTTGTAGTTGCTTTGATTGATTGTCTTTCTTTATTTGGTGCTACATTACTTTTGTCCTCATTACACTTTCATTCCATTCACCTGATTACAACTTCGTTTTCTCTACTTTCCAGACTTCGTTTTTTGCTATTCAGAACAATGAATGTATTAAACAAAATACACATTACTGCTACATCCCAAGGTTCAGACATTCATCTCAGTTACCCTTTTAGCTCAATAACTAGAGCAAATGCCTGGTGTATCACATGGAACTACTCTCCTGTTCCTTGTTCTGTTGCTTCTACTTGATTTTCCTTCTCTCACAGGGCAGGCTGTTGAGACTTCTAGCAGTAACTCTTCCACAGAACCAATTCTTGGTTCTAGAACCATAAATGCCTATCTCTCTCTCCTTTCACACCTGCATTCTCCCTTCAACCCAGAGGCTGTACAAGTTCTTTCTTTAGGTCTGTTCATGCCTTTAGTACTCCACCTTTCACCTATCATTTTCCCCTCAAATCCTCTGCATTTCTAACATCTACTTGGAAGTTTGTCTTGATTCTCAAATGGAATGGGAAATTCCACAGCAGTTAAATGTGAAATAATAGCTCTTAGTGGTGCATAGTAAGCAATGTTTCTGAGATTAGATCTTCTCTGTAGAGCATTTTGTGTGATTTTATGACATTGGACTTAACAGATTTGTCTGTGTTCCT